TCAATTGTTGAATTCTCCATGATTTAAACCAATGAACATAAGGAAAAAAAGGTTAATGAGTCAACCTCAATTTCCAAAATCCTCAGTTCGGTATCACGAATAATGGCTCTAATCGCCAAAATATTAGTCCGTTGTATTTCAATCTTGCTCTTCAATGTCCCTTCCAAAACTTCCCACACTAATTTCCTTTTGGAGTAGTAACATTTTGCAATCAAATCACTTTCATGCCTGGAAATTCTCTGCTAAATTTTTTATTCATCAGGCATTTTTCAAAACACAATCTATACTACTTTAAAACACTAAAACAATGTTGTAGAATATTTAGAATATATATATATATATATAGAATATTTGATATAGAAAACTCCTAAATATAATATACTAATCTAAAACTATTCCACCACCACATGAATTCAAGAAGTCTTGTAACAAAACTAATTCTAGTCATAATATAGTAAGAACTCCTAAAACACAACAAGCCTACTATTAACAAACAATTAAATATATAAGGAGATTGGTTTAATCTCCAACACAGATTAAGCTCTTCATTCCATGAAGAGTACCTCTTTTTTGGGCATTCATTATCACTTTGATGGGAACACCAATTCAATCAAACACAAATTAATTCCAGTTCCAAAAACTGAGATATCTACTATTAGTCCATACCATTATGAATGCAATTCTTATTATACTATTGTGAACAAGTAATCCCGTTAAAATGACACAGAAAAAGGATGAAAATATCGTTCACATAGAAAGTTTAAATAAATAATTTATCCAAGCAAATCTACTTTCAAGTCATTAGTAATACAAATACATCTTCATTTGTTATCAACATGACCATTAAACAGAACTAAACTCTATAAAAGATTTATCCCCAACTTCACTCCAACCCCTTTTAGTGGTAGGGCAGTAACTTACAACCCATGCACCCTTCTATGCATAACACCAGTAAACACTAAATTGAGTTAATTAATCTTATAGAATAGCAAAATTATATTCATAGTTTGATGCAATATCAAACGAAAATCATAGAATACTGAACATAAGAATACAAGATTATATATATTTCAATAGACTATGCCACATAAACTCATTATGACTTCAACAAACTTGAGGCTAAGCACATGGAGTGTAGTACCTAGCCTAGACCTTATCATGCAGATGGAATTTACATCCCGGGGAAATTTTATTTAGGATCAGTGCAACTTCTGATATGTAATATGTATCGAGTATAGTGACCGGAAATTTGAATAATTCAAAGTGACCTGCAAAATGAAGATTAAAGGTGTGACATATTTCAACTCACAATAAGAACAGGAATCGTTAAACGGATGGTACTTTGCAGTATCCCTACATAGAGAAGTAATTGTAAGGCACGCATACGGGAATATTTCATGCAACAGAAAAAAAATTTCAAAGATTTAACAAGCTAATTTATTAATTGCCTTCAGCTCTGCCACCATCAAAACCAAAATGCATTCAACTCGGCTAACTCTATATTGGGGAAGTAAGAATTGATGTCTCAAAATATTGACATGAAAGTCATTCACTAAAAAAACAAAATGACAACTTTGGTAAGAATAGCTTTAGCCATCCAGAACTATATTTTTTTGTTTTTTTTCTTTGAATGGACAGAACTATAGTTCAAACTGCAAGAAGGGGGCTGGAGAAAAAGAAATAGAGAACAGAATTTTTCTTGACAGATATTTATTATTGTTTGAAATCTAGCACGACACATTTACCTATTGTGGTCTGTCATGGATGCAAGAACAACTTTGTTTCCCACGCTATGATTCACCTCTACCTTTGCAAATAGAAAGGCACATCCAAGTCCCACAATAAACGTATGAACAAACAGAGAAAACATATGATCCTTCATATTATTTCTAATAACGTCTAGATGCACAAAATATCAATAATGATTGAATAAGGCATAAATATAACATAACCTACAAAAGACGCACTATTAATGCAATGGAAATAAGATAAGCTAATTTGAAATGCCTTCAAAAACAGAATGAAAATAATTTCATTTCATGGGAGTCTAACCAACCTCTGTAGAAGGTACGAGCGTTTCATCTTTTCTTAAGATGAATTGGGCTTTTCTTCAAAGAGTGTAGTCAAGTTTACCTCAAATTCTAGGATCCACGAAAAGGTCCTTCAAATCTCTAAAATGGAAAAGAAATCTCACCCATGGCATTCATGTCTTCCAATGCCCTGTAATTCAAAGAACAGTGGAATTTCAACCAAAGAGACGCAGGCCCAAGTGGAAAAGAAAATCATATAAATGAGAAAGATTACATGTTGGATGCTACTACCTTGCTGCCACTGTGAGATGGTGGGATCTGCTGCTATGATGTGTGACGATGAGAGAAATCGTCATAGATCTACTCCTATCCGATGTGGTTCCTGGTAGAAAGAGAAATGGAGATGAGATGACGATGACGGAGTAAATATTCGATGTGTCAGTGAGTCGAAACGGAAGGGACGGGGAATGGAAGGGACATGGAGAGAGACAATAACGAGTGAGAAGTAATTACACGTGATGATTAAGTTTAGTGTGATATTAATTCTAGTGGATGAGGGTGGCATAGTTGCATTAGTAGAGGATAAAGATGGCAAAAAAAAATTTAAAATTTTGTGATATTTTAAAATAATATAGATAATTCAATGCATAAAATTCAAGTTCACAAGACTTTATATTATGAACAAAGTTTTCAAGACATTTATGAATTGTAAATATTAATCCGAAGTCATCAGGACTTTTTTAAATCATAAAATTGATCTGAAATTCTTAGGAGTTCGATAATTTTTTTTCCAATTAGTTTACATATCATAGGACAAATATCAAATTGTAAAGAAAATTTCAATAACAATATGTAATATCCAATACTTACCGGTTTTTAATTTACTTCTAAATTCTTTCGAAAACAAAGTCTTTCTTCCGATGATTAGAGACTCATGTTGCTAATGTGTTGTAAAATCAACGCAAATATTAACAAAAATGTATATATATATAAAGAAATAGTTACAGCTCTTTTTTTTAAAAAAAAATATATGATTAAGATTGATTTTTTAGTGATATTTGGAAAATTAAATTTCTTGAAATTTATTTGATTAGGATTTCACTTATAATTCTTTAAATAAAATAAAAATAATTGACAATATACTAATCACATTGAAATCTTACTATAATTAGGAATTAGTTAGATCAATTAGGATAAAATTTAATATACTACTCTGTAATATAATATAACTAGTCATAACTCGTGCCTGAAGGCACGATAAAATATAAAACTCAAGCATCCAAAAAATTGATTTCATTATATTAAATTTTTTTAAAATATATTAATTACAAATTAATCAAATAGTAAATGATTAAATATATGATAGAAATGAGTGATGTGATATTTTTATGCAGAAAATATATAAATGATTAAATATGTGATAGAAATTAGTAATGTGATTTGACGTTTGAGTCTGACAAAAGAATGATGGGTTCGATAAGTGAATAGTGATGGTTTTGAGGGAAAAAATATGACTGAGATAAAATTTAAACACACTACTATTTTATTATATAGATATATATTATCAAGCATATTAAAATTCTAAAAAATTAAAGTTTTACTTAAAAATAATCTACAATGTTTATTTTTACATAAAATCATAGTAAAACTTAAAAATTTTATTGTAGTTGAAGAATAATACTAATGTAACGTAAATTAAATTTAAAAAATTAAATATACAATTATTTTTTATCTTAAAAATAAAAGGGTTAAAGTTTTCGATAAAAAAGTAAATACGCATATATAGATATAGTGTTATTTTTGTATATGATATGAGTAATATTAAATTGATAAAGTTTTTAAGGCTTTTTGAACACTTTATAGAAAATATAATAATGCATATTTTTTTAACGGTAATATAGTCAATCAAATTTTTAACTAATATTTATACATAGATAATAGATAATTAAAAAAGATGTTATATATAATTTGGAGATTTAAATACATAAATATATGATAGTAGTTTAGATATTTATTTGTGAAACGATAGAATGATTTTTACAATCCTATATAAGGGTAAAATAAAAATTCAAAAGTTCTTTATCTTAAGATAATTTTATTAGTAGTATAGATATAGATATAAATTAACATAATAATGACAATTAACTACACATAATAATCAAACGTATAAACAACAGTTAGTTTGGTTTGATTTCTAATGGTACATACAAAGAGGATAGAGTGAAATAACATACCGTTCATATAGTGGCTATGACGAGGATAACCTGAGAAAAAAGTATATTGTCCACAGGAGACTCTATATGACAACTAGTAATTCACCACCCGTGATGATGAAAAAGAGAAAATAATGGAAGAAGAAATAAAACCAATGAAAGAAGAATCGATTGGATTAGTTGCCATGAATTTTTTCTTTTTTCGGTTTTGTAATTGATAAGGAATACATAATGGATATGAATGGAGGGGTGGGGAGTCACTGACATATGAAATGAATAAATATATAATACATGAAATAATAGTTCGTGTGAAAAAGGAAAATATATGAAGAGTTCTTTGAATAGTTAAATACATAGAAATATAAGATGATTTTAATCTTTTTTATAAGAATATGAGAGTTAATTAAAAAAAATTCACTTTTATTTATATTTTATAGTAGTATATGTTAGTAACAAGAGGAGGGTAGTTGAAGCGGGTATATAGACTAGAAGGGTGACATTATGTAAGGGATGTGAAGAAAAAATCAACTACATTTTATATTGGACGGAGTAAATTGTTAATCCAATAATTATAATGGGTTGTATCTTCAAATTAATTCTAATAATTTGGTAGATTATTGCTTCCAAATCAATGGCCAGAGTCGTGCCACGTAGTCCCCAATGTTTGGTTCCCGCCAATTCTTTTTCCCGCTTTATTTACACACAGCATACATATACAGCGCGTATTCACATACACGCAAACCGAAAACCCTAACCACTTCTCTCTCTCTCTCTCTCTCTATCTCTCATGGAACCTCAGAAGTTAACAGAGTATGAGCGTCGAAGGCTGGAGAACATCAAAAAGAACGAAGAAATGCTCGCTTCTCTGAAGGTCAATTCCAGACTCAACGACCTCTCTGCCGCAACGAAACGCCAGAGGTATGTGTGTGTGTGTCTTTGGCACTTGCAATGTCATAATTGATGCAATTCTGTCTCGATACAACATAGCCCTTTTCGTGGGAAGGCAGTGATGTATCAATCTGTGTCTGTGGTTGTTACATAAATGAATAACCATTTTTCAAACCCACCTACGCAAATGTTTATATATGATTATAGCAACATGGCATGTCCTTTCTCTGAAATTATTAGATTCTGATTTCCGTTTTTTCATATCACAGAGCTCAAACGAAATCATATAAAAATAGCCCAGAAAAGAAATCAAAAACTGAAACTCCAATTGTGATTCGACGGTCTCTTAGGGCCCGAGGAATGCCACCGAATGCTTCAACTGCTGATGGCCTGAAAGATGGCTTTGATGAAACCACCCTAAAAATCCCCAGACAAGCACACATGATGCCAAAAAAATCACGTCCTGTAATGGGTACTATTACTATAAGTGATGCATATATTGGTACTGAATGGGATAAAAAGCTTATTGACAAAATTTTGAGTGTATCAAAGAAGTCCCAGTTAAGTTGCATTGGTGGTGTAAAAGAGGAAACTGATGGGGGGTTTTCCGATTTGGCCGTGGGCGTGTCAGAAAATGAGGGTACTGGGTGCCCAGAAATGAAAAATAAGCTTTTGGGTTCGATTGATGTGGAGAAATTGGCATTGGAGCCTGAGAATGTAGCACGAGTTGTGCCTGGGAGAATAATGAGTGTGAGGTTCTTTCCCACCGCAGATATGACAACAATTGTTGTGGGGAACAAGTACGGAAATGTTGGGTTTTGGAACGTTGATGCTGAAAAGGAGGATGGTGATGGGATCTATGTCTATCAACCTCATTCGGCGCCAGTTTCAGGGATTTCCCTTCAACCATTTTTGTTGTCGAAGGTACTATGCGTTTTATATAGGGATTGACAGAGTTTAAAATTATTATGACTTGCTTGTCAGATTTGAGAATTTTATTCTTTAGCTTGTGACGGTTTCTATAAAACTTTAATTTGGGTAACGCATCAACTGTTGACTTAAAAAGAATAATTCCGAGTTTGGACATGTAACTAATGGGCAATCATCTAGGTCCCGTTTGGTAATGTTTATATTTTTTGTTTTCCGTTTTTTATTTTTGATATTTAGAGAAAATAAGAAAAAAAAAACTTGTTTAATAACCGTTTTAATTTTTTTTTTCCGTCATCATTTTGTTAAACGTAAGGCGATTTTCAAAAACGAGAAAAAGTCGTTTTTCGTTTTTTGATTCTGTTTTTTGTTTTTTAGAAAATCAAAAATTGTAAACGTTATCAAACGAGCCCTTAATTTTTCATTTTTGATATTTGGTCTCATCATCATGCATAAAACCGTTTTTTTCTTTTTTTTTGACTTATTGAGAATTTCGTATGTCGGTGGTTACCATGATAACATACCTCACAATAAAACGTTAAAATATTGCTTCATATGAGCCAAGTTTAATTTCATACACAAAAAAGAAGCCATTTCACTAAATATGGACATTTAAGTGCACACCCTGTAAACTCTGCATGAATTTACATTTTATTCTGTGATATCTTGATGCCACTATACAGACCCTGGGTGCATAAGCTTGGCAAAAAATAGTATTCATCATTACCGATGGAATGGAGGGACGGTGATGCTTATTGCATTTACAAACAATTTTGTGTAGATGGTCTTTCTTTTTCAGTTTCATTTAGAGTTCACTGAATTGTTTGTTTGACATATATGTCGGTCTTTGCATTCCGCATCTTGGCTTCTTTAAACAGCTGGTATATCACCAATAGTAATTTTTGTTGAGTGGTGAATGTGTATGCAGATGTTTACTTCCTGCTATGATGGATTTATCCGGCTAATGGATGTTGAGAAGGAGGTATTTGATCTGGTGTATTCAAGTGAATACGCTATATTTTCTATTTCTCAGCGTCCAGATGATGTGAGGTCCTTATACTTTGGTGAGGGCCCTGGAGAACTCAATATTTGGGATGAGAGAGCAGGGAAATCTTCATTCTCGTTTAAATTGCATGAAGATAAGATCAATACTATAGATTTTAGCTCAGAAAACAGTAACATCATGGCTACGAGTTCCACAGATGGGACTGCCTCTATTTGGGATTTGAGAAAAATTGACTCAAATAAGCTGAAATCTTTGAAGACCATTAGTCATAAAAGGGCTGTGTATTCTGCTTACTTTTCACCATCTGGAAGTTGTCTTGCAACAACGAGGTATGCAATGTTCTTGCACATGATCCCATCCCCCCTTATGTTCTGGTGCAGTAATTCTTGAGTCTTCCATAGCTTCAAACATTTCACATTGATTCCTCTAGAATGTTCGTGATGCCTCTTTTAGATGGTAGATTTGATTCATAGTAGATTTGCTCAGCACGATTAGTCTCATGAATAATTATTGTAGGTCCTTCATCTAAAGATCTTTTGTATTTTATCTATGTAATAACAATATCTAAAGGGAAACAATGACTATGATAATTAATTTTTGTGAACTGCTCAATAAGCCCATTAAGTGATATACTTCTGATTTTCACAGCTCTAACTCTGAAAGCTGTGATCATTATACTTCTGACTGCATTCTGGTTTATATTTGCGGGGCTATAGGTTAATGCTTTCTGCTTAGAAGGTTATAGAATAATACTCTCAGCTTAGACCACATTTTAAAAGGGGTATTAGTTCACTGTTAGGGACTTTTAGTTACCAAAACAATCTTCTGATTGCATGGATACGTAAATTTTAGCATGGACTATTTAGCATGTAGCTTATTCCAGTGAATCTCGGTTTGGGCCCAATTACCTTACATATCACCAATAAGTATCGGTGGGTACAAGTTCCTTATGCGAACTTTTATTACCTTGCTCATTAGGTTATTGATCATTGGGCTGCTGGCTGGCTTCTGATCACATGTAATTTTTCATTCTGTTCCTGCAGTGTCGACGACATAGTTGGTATAGTGAGTGGAGCTAATTATGAGGATATATCAATGATATACCATTATAACCAGACAGGCAGATGGATTTCTACATTCAGGTACAGCTTTTTCAGATTAATTATGACATGTTGATGTGCCTAGCTTTCACCAAAACAATCTACATGTTGTTTTGTAAATCTGGTTCTATATTACAATCAAGTTTGTGGAAGTTTCCTACTTCATTAAGCTCATCTTGTTTAACAAGTTTGTGAAAACTAAAACCTATACGAAGACTTTTAGATATGAAATATATTTGATTTTCTGTATAATTGTTATTTCTGATTCATTAACAGTACTATCATCGGAAATCTTCTTAATTCCTTCAAGTAGTATTTGGAGTCTTTTAAATGTGTGATTCTTTGAGTTGGGTCACCGTTTGATTTATAATTCCAAGATATATTTGAACAAGCATGGACACTCTTAAGAAGATAATGTGCATGTCAGACCGACTCTTCTTGGATATTCTTGGACACATGTTCAATTATCTTTTGGCTGCGTCCATCATTAGAAGATAATATCATAATTTCACATACATGACTAACACTTATTTAGGTTGGATCAATGATTAAATAATAAACACTTGTCGATATATAATTACCAAGATTTAGAACATATAAAAATAATTATCTTATACTATAAAGGGTATATAATTGTATAAGCTAATCATTTTAATATTTTAGTTCAAATTTAGTAGTTAAATCAAAAGATGAAGAGAAGTTTTTACTAAAGAAAAAGGACTTGCAAAGACGAGAACAATCATTATAATTATGGTGTTTCCTCCCTTTATCTTCAGAAAATCATTGATTATTGACCACTATGATCCATTAGTCTAAAAATTCACAGAGGACTAGACAAAAGATTTATTTATCATGAAGTACTTATTTTTTCATATTGTATACTTAACTATTTGTGTCTATATGTAGTGAACTAGTGATAGATTATAAAATTTGTTGATTATTGACAATTATGGTTAGTCTAAAAATGATCTCTAGAGTACTAGACAGAAAATTTATTTATCATGAAGTACTTATTTTCTTATATTGTATACTAGTCTATTTGTAACTACACGTGATGATAGATTACATATTTTGATTTACAATGCACAATTATTTGTAGCATGTCACTGACTAGACGGTGACCCACCTATTTGAGAAATGCTGTGTCCAAATTGTATCTGCATCCCATTTTCATATCTGTTTTGCATAGGATATATTTCTTAGTTCATTCACAAGATGGTTGAATCAGCACAAGGGTCATCAATTTTAGGATTCCAACATTTCAAGTCTTGCCTCATCCTTTTGATTTTCAGAACTTTAATTATTGTTATACCTTATCTTGTGATGGATTTTTGAACTAGAAAAAGGGTAGAAAGTTTTCAAGTGGAAACACTGAACTACAAAATCAGCATGGCCTCTATGCTGTGAAAAATTGATGTACATGTGCCTTTCCTCTGGGCGCACCCAGATGAGGGGAACTTGTCTCTTTTTTGTGATATAGGGCCTCATTGCTGTGCTTTTATGGAAGTGCTTCATGTGTCTTTTTCCAGGGTGAAGGCTTTTATGGCTGATGCCAAATTTGTACTAATATGGAAACAGAATTGAGGAAGTTAAAAGATGTCTTAGTAGCTCATAGTTATTTACTTGTTTTTTTCTTCTACCTTTTGAGTTCTGTATTCCATTTTTATGGCCTCGGCATGTGGAACTTATGGATTATATAGGATTTTCTTGGGTGTTTTGCATGAATTCTTGAAGTTGTGTTTTCCTTCACTGGTAACTGGAAGGCGTTAACTGTCCTACTTTTGCAGAGTTTTTGTGCTGGGACTAACTTCATAGCCTCAAAACAAAGCTTTTGTTCACTCTGAACAGTTGTGGTTCTTGCTGCTCACTGTTTTCGGGTTACTTCTAGGCTGTGTTATAGTTGGGTCTTCATTTTTTTGTTCTGCTTTTACATTTAGAATATAGTTGACTCTAGTTGTGTTGATCGTTTTTTTCTATAAATATTAGCTATTAATATAAATTGAAATTTAGTTGACGAATGTTGTTTATTGCCCTTTTTTTGATATGATCATAAAATTCAAAGATGGAGATAGACAGTTAACATCTCTCTCTCTCTCTCTCTCCCTCCTCTGCTTGGGAGAACAGGGCAATATGGGGCTGGGATGATTCATACATCTTCATCGGAAATATGAGAAGAGGAGTTGACGTTCTTTCTTCAATTAGTAGGAATATTATTGCAACTCTACAGAGTGAGCATATGTCTGCGATTCCATGCCGTTTTGATGCTCACCCTTACAAGGTTGGGATGCTCGCAGGGGCCACAAGTGGAGGCCAAGTTTATATATGGACACTAGACTAGGACTATGCTTTTTGTACCATATTCTTGCAGTCAAGTAGTTGAGCTACAATCTCATACTGATGTGTAAAGTCATGTAAATTGTGGAAAGACTATTTTTTTCACCGTCTGTAGGATGTTTTGCAGCTTCTTTATTGCTTTTTGAAAATTGTAACTTAGTAACAGTTCGATGCTGGCTTGGATATAAGATTTTTATCTGATTTAGATGACTGGTATTTAGTTTTAACTAGTTGAATCTGGGAGTACGTACATAAATATAGTTGGGCAAGGGTTTACTGCTTAGTGCAATGGTGTAAGCTCGAGCTCTAAAATATAGGTTTGAGTCTTATGCTAGCTTGTGTAGAAATAGTGATTTGTACTGTGGGTGATACTGTATGGCACGCTGCATCTGCAGGATCTAGGCCTGGTAAAACCTTCATTTAGGATAAGTTTATGTATGCCAAAAAAAAAAAAAATTGGTATTATATTGGATGATAATTTGTGGCCATAGATTTTCAGTTGATTCACTTGTAGTTATTCATAATAATGAAGTAAAATAATAGAATAAAGAGAAGTCTATACTCATTATATTCGCAATGGTTGAAACGTGGTATTGAATAGTAATTTTTTGTTAAACTATTGCTTCTTCTTCCAAGAGGTTAGTTCAGGAGGTATCAAAGTTTCATCACAGGAAAGCACAGCTTGTGCCATTATTTTCCCAAGCCAACCATGGTACAACAGACCCCTTGAACCAAGTCCTGTAAATAACCAGAATTTACCACCATGATTTCCCCCTACAAAATCATCTATACAACCCAAAAGCGGAAGTGATCCATGAAAAGTGAGTGGTGGCATTGCCCTTAGACCTGCACGTGCTCCAGCGAAGGCCCAACTCTTTATTCCTGGGAATATGGCTGATGCTTTCGGTATAAGCTCGTCCATCGCTTTTGAAGCTTCATCACTGGAGACATCCGGGGAATAATTTCTTGAGTTCCATTCCCATGTCGAACCCAAATGTAGATTCTGGGGCCCCTGTACAGCAAGCCACGCATCTGACAAGATTGAGGGGCCATGTTCTGGATAATGTTCCCTGAAACATAGCAGTCAAGATAATCAAGTCTTAGACCATGTTGTTTTATGGGGGCATAAGAATACCAAGTTGAAATGAAATAATTCTATTCTCTTCACCTTTAATATTTCCTGATAAAATATTAATCATTACCAAAAGAAGGGACATGCTGGTAGTAAGTTATTTAGAACGACATACATGTGATTTATTTAAACCCACTTTCAGTTTGAGCAGAAATGCTACGGAAAACCCCTTTGAAATGATATGCGAACTTAACCCCTCAATCCACACGCAAAGTAGGGGGAATGGATTTTGGGGACTCCTTTCAATCAATTTAAGTCTTCCAAGTGCCTACCAGGTGCAAAGCAGTTCTGAGTAAGAGTTTAGAAGGTTCGATCTTTACCCACTGTCATCAGGGAGTTGCAGGTGAGCTAAGACACCTCTGCATGTCCTTAAAGGAAGTCTCCCAGAGAGCTCAGGTAGAAATGCTGTTCTGGCACCTAGACAAACAATTACTGCATCGTACTCCCCTGAAACAGGTACACTGTCAGAGCAGATATTTGCTTAGTAAACATGAAATCATTGATGAATATAGGCTCTTAAAGTCACCATTCTATTGATCTCAGGTCACACAATTAAAACTTTTAACTAAGTCAAACTAATAAGCTGATGGTACAATACAATTAACCTACACTAGGAATCAATTACTTCCAACAGTCCAAACCTTAGACAAAAAAAAGAAAAATTCATTCAATTATTATGCCTCAAATGATTCCGTGAATTAGCCACTCAATTGACCCCTTTAGCACAAAAATTCGACAAAAAAACTGGAATCTGAGATAAAGAAGTTTATGAATTCCTCTTCGGTTTTCAAGTGTACTAAATTTGAAATTTCTGTCTATTGGCAGAATGGCCAAAATTTCCATCTTTTTGACATTCCAAAAATAGTTTCTCCTATAATTGAGTGTTTGGCCACTCTGGCAGACCAGTTCACAGAAGTAGGTCAACCTTGTCTGCTTGAGCAGCTTGACAACTGAGGATGTGTGGGTTAATCCTATGAATTTACTAAAAAAGTAAAATAATAATGACAAAGATTATCTATGGATTTTATTTCCCACAAGCATTTACATTAGTGATGGTTGCAACAGATGTAAGCATACATGCATGCATAACTGTGGTGTCTTACAAGAACCTTTTTTGTCTGACTATTCAATAATGTATGTCAAGACTGGTTATTGCAGGTAGTTCTTGAGATCATTTAAGATGCTGTCTTGCAAATAAACAACTGTCAGCTGATTCCAAGTGAAAGCAATCTCACAGAGAAATCATACTACATTGTAATACTGCCTACATGGAAAGAACTGCAGATTTTAGAGCATCAGCACCTCCCTTATATCTATTGTTTAACACTGTTGAAATTATGGCCATATCTCAGAGAAACTCTGAAACAATGGTGGGAGTTTACCTGCCAGTTCAAGGAGATTGCCCACAGATTTCTTATGCAAACATAAAACTTTTCTACCAGAACTGGAAGTGGACATGTTTCTCACTAGAATTTCACAAGCTGAGTAGAGTGCCTAACAATCACAGGATGAGCAGTGTCAATAAAATGAAAGATAAAAGCTTTCTTAAAGAACCAAAATGACTGGGCCATTTTTCAGACCTCCAGATAGCTTTTTGGATGAACATTCACAGCTTCGGGCATGTAAAAGGCCAAGTTTAAAGGTACACATAAATTGGGCACGAGATTTTGGGCTGCATCCTTATCAATGGACTCTATTCTGCAACTGGCAAGGCAGTTCTGAGAATTCTACTAATGGAAAACAAGAAATAACCACATCAATAAGAAGTCGGATTTTACCATCATGTTTATTTGGTAGTTTAGAGGAACTTACATCATTCATTACATCCATATTCTTCAAGCTGACAGCTGGTCTAAGGATACCTCTGCTGCGAATAAATTCCTCATTAAGTATAAACTCATCTGTAATGACTATCGCCTAAAACAAAAGTAAGAGCCTATTTCCAAAGTTTGAAAATAACAAACTGAAACATATCGGTTCACCATTAAATGATGCTCGAGTTCAAAAAATTAGAATGCTTTTCTGAATCCAGACACAAAGATACTCAGGATTCGGAATTCACCATGTCTGGTGAAAGACTAATACAGCACAGATACCAGAAATCAATATCCCATCCAATTAACTGACAATTAGGTGTCTTGTATTAATTAAAATCACAAAGCATAAAAAAATGATCAAGAGTATGGGAAGAAACAGGCCCTTGAAGAAAAAGTATTGTGGAGATCAAACCTTCTCCGTACTAGGAAACTGTCGGAACCTTGAGCAATTTTTCGAGTTTCCAAGTTGAACTCCCTGGAACATGCTGCTGCTTCAGCAACGCTTAAAAGCTTCAAACTCTCTTTCCAGCAATCTTCACCCAGCCAAAGAAGCTTAACTGTGAGAAGTGAATATCTCCTGGACATCAGACTGGGTGAACAAAGGCCGGAGGAGGAAAGTAAAAGAGATAACATATCACTAGCCCAATGACAACGTTGCTCTTAAGTACAAAAAGAGGTGACCTGAACCTTTTGGGGAATATGGATGAAGGAGCCCTCCAGACACTCCAGATGCACCTCCACCGATGCCAACTTCGTCATAGATGTCAATCCAAAGATCCTTAATACTGTGCTGCAAAAGTAAGTTCCCGACACAAAAATTGGCAAAATAAAAAAAAGGTAAAAAACACATATTACATCAATTCGTATATGCACAAAGATGGCCTCACTGCCTAAAGGTCCTTTGCAAATGCAATTGGAAAAAACTGCATCCACAGTCATGGTCATTGACAGAAGTAGAACAGCCAAAAATATTGGATGCACCAAACAGTCCAATTTAACAATAAATTAAAAAAATTGGAGACAGAATTCAATTGAAGTTAGAAGCAGGCATTCAAAAAATTCCATACAAAACCCTTCAGTTAACTTCTGAAAAGGGCCAACATTGCACATTCAAAACTCTACCAGAATGTTACATATATTGGGCACTGATAAGACTAACTCCACCCTATGGTTCAACACCAGTCAAAGCAAACAAAAAATTCACACAAACATGTCCAATGGCTGACTATACAAAACCATTGAAATCTATGACAACTGGTGTCTTGGCCTAGCGGTAAAGATGGGATTCTTGAGGAGCAAGCATCATGGTCTGAATCCCATTAACTACTGCTTAAAAGGCTAAAATAAAATCAATGACAAAACTCAATCTTAACTGTGTATTTCATACTCATATAGGGATTCTACAACAGGAATACTTCATCAACTATGACTAATGTTAGCTTGGTAATTCTTCAAGTTTATTGATTCCTTATGTTAGTTGCCATGATTTTCTTGACCACTCTAACTTTGAAAACAATCAACGGTAATAATGAGACCACCTGTCATATTACCATGCATTAACATCTTCCAATCAAAAATATGTTCAGGACATCCCCAAATGCATTGCTATCTTAATTACCAAAGCAACAGAATAATTTGTAGTGTTGCAGCTCTTGGCTTTCATTTCTTTTACGTCTTTCCCTCACAGTTTCTCACTTCTCAGCAACCAAACTGAACACAACAAAAAGCATTTATCTTCCAATCACAGGAAACATAACCCCATACTTGTAAAATTGAAACTGAATTCCGTTAGGTGTGTGTGTGTGGGCGCGAGCGCGTTGTGTGTGTGTGTGTGTGTGTGTGTGTGTGTGTGAGAGAGAGAGAGAGAGAGAGAGAGAGAGAGAGAGTACTTGCAACAAATGCCAAACTACAGACAACCCAGCAAAGCCAGCTCCAAGCACTGCATATCTACATATATACCCAAAACTATTATTCAAACAATAAATACAGCAATTTTCACACACGCCCATATAGCAGAACAACATAAGTGGACCTGAGGGGTCGGTCACAGAGAGAAAAGGAAGAGCGAACAGAAAAGGAAGGAGAAGACACCACCGGCAGTGATATGGGTTTTCTGATACGGGTCATTAGAATTTTGGGTTGCCAAGGAAGCATAGTAGGGATAGGTGTTTGGGTGATGGGGCTCAGTGGCATCATCTGGGATGTGGCTTTGTGATATGTAGACCGACTGTAGACTGCCTCTCACTTTCTGGATGTATTAGGAGGAGGGATTCGAATGTGAATTGTTCGAATTCTGGCCATAACCGGTGCTTAAAGAAAACATAAAATTCGAGGCCGAAAAAATCAACCCTACTATGTTAAATAATAATTTTTTTTTCATTTTTTAATTACATCGTTTAAAATCTATATTTTTTCATTATTTTCTTTAAAATGTCTATAATTTCTTTTCAAAATACGTGACAAAATTTTTTCAAAAAATATTTATTACAACGGTGATATCACGTGGTAAGGTGATATAATATTACCAACCAATAATATTAAAACAAATAAGTAGATAAACCCCATAAAAATAAATAAATAACTTGTCATGTAAACAAATAATTTCTCACTCTCCTGTCATGTAAGTTCAAGTGGGGTTCACTTTTCCCATTTATAGTTTTATTATTGGTTGGTGATATTATGTTATCAATTGTGATATGATATTACCGTTACATTCAATATTTACTCATATATATAATAATGTTTAAAATAAAAAATATATTAAATTATAAATTAATTAAATATTAAAATAATTAGACATGTGATAAAAATGTGTGATATAATATTTTTGGAAGAAAAAAATGTGTACGGTATAAAATTCATGAGTTATCTTATTATATAAATTTACATGGGATTTAAGAAGAGTTATTTCATTTAGGGAAAATTTCGGTTTACCAAACTATGGTTAAGTTGTTTTGCAGATCACCTCTTTCACATTTAAAAGTAACCACACAACTATAATGTAGTTTGTGGACTAAAACGCAATGTTAGATTTTATTTGTAATCTAACTGTCCGTGTAACTCACGGCGTTGATATGGGATTTCTAATTAGAAATGTGTTGTATTTTATTCGCTGTATAATTTGTTTATAGTTAAATTCACATTTAAGTCAAATATAAACTAATTTTGTATAATAATTAGAATTAGTAATAGGAGGAGCATGAAGATAGGAGTGTCAAACGTGTCGGATTATGTCATTTTGTATCGAGTTAATTTTGAGTTTGTGTCTAAAATATCAAATCCTAAACTTGACATATTTAATAATCGTGTCGAGATATGTAAATACTAATCTGACCTGTACATTAAACGGGTTACTCGAACCCGACCTGTTTAACACGTTTAATAAATAGGTCATTTTCGAATTAACACACATAACATGATCTATTTAACTTGTTTAACACACATAATTTGTTTCCACACCAGTTCATTACCATTAAATACATCATTCAATCATTCATCCAAAATTTTAAATAATTTTTTTACAAATAATATATCACATCTTATCAATGAAATTAACTAAAATGCATTCAAATTTCAATCCCAAAATTAAAGTAAGAACTATACTAATATACCGTCATAATAATGTTAAGAACTATACTGTCAATTATCATAATAGAAGTAAGAAGTAAGAACTAATAAGTAACAATGTTAATATCACAACAGTCATACATAATAGGCAAACTATATTGTAATAAACGGGATAAACATCTCTCTAATGGGTTAGGCCGGGTTCCTGTCCGAATTATATCAACCCGGTTAAAATATACAAGTTAATCAAGTCAAAATCAAGTTGACATAATTTTGACATTAACCAACATGATTTTTTTTCGTATTTAAGCGTGTTAACCCGTTTTAATCAATTAACTTATTTAATTTCATGTTCGACCCATTAATTTTGTGTTCGGCTTATGTCGTATTAACGTGTCATGTCAAAAATTGACAGCTCTACCTGAAGACACATGTAGCATAAATTTTAGCATCTAAAAAATCGATCTCACTATAACATTCTAAACTGTAGCCTAAAAGGCATTGCTATATATACAACATTTAAACTATGAGGGCAACTAATAATATTCATAAATAAAAAAAAATTCATTCATCATTTATAATAGCTAAAGTATAATCCAAAACCAACATATGCAATATTGGAAATTACATCCAAAACTAAAGTAATATTATTCCAAAAACTAACTAAAAAATGTTTAATACATTATTCAAATCAACATAATCCAAATCCATCTTCTAGGGTAACATCTCTAACCATCTACCTTGGGATCCTCATCCCCATCAGTCTAGGCTTCCAATTAACCTATCCATCCAATCTAAGCTCCTCCTCTCATCCGTAATTTGAAAAATCTTTTATTTATAAAGGGTGAGCACTAAGCTCTGTAGAAACTACTCCCAAATTCGAACAAGATTTCGAAAGCATATAAAACATGTTGGTATCACTTTGTAAAATACCATATATAACTTTTGAATTAAAACAATAATAATTTATCAGATCTCAAGTTTACGTTAAAAGCAACAAAATAAATGAAAAAGTAAAATCAACTTTCAATCCCTAACCCATTTCCAATAATGTATATTAGGTATGCAAATAGACTTAGTATTAATGCACACATTGAGAATATCTTGGCCTACACTCACACAAACTCAATCCTTGTAAGGATACACAATTTTAGGAAGAGCATATATCAACGCATTGCAAGTGATGAATCCAACGCAAGAATAGTATACTAGTCCCAGCCTTGATATCTGTGAATGAATAATAGTTTGATCCTCGCAAGATAGAAACTCCACTACGAGTGGTAAGGAACCTTTAAACCCTTCTTGGTAAGAAATGCATCTACCCACTTTACAATACTCGGTCAACAATCATCCATGTTCATTAAACCACCGATACAAGAGATAATATTTCAAACCAATTCACAAAATTACACGTAATCCAAGTTTCATAAAATCACAATTGTTTTCTAATGAGACAATTCAAAAAAAAACATGCAAAAAATCATCAAGAAACATAATTTTATTGTTCAAAATCAAACACTAGAGTTTTTAAATCAAGCACAAGAAAATATCATGTGCAAAGCCTATATTTTTTGAAACCTAGGGTTTTGATAAGAAGAATGATAGTTTTATGGCTATAAAACATAAATCTCATTTAAAAACATTATACAATTTGCAAGTAAACAAGATTTAATGATTACATATCATATACATATGATTTAGAATCAAAACCTACATATATATTAACCCTAGTCTTAATTAATGAAATTAGGAATAAACCCATACCTTTAATCCGTAGTTTGATGCAAATCCTAGCTTGTTTGATTCACCCCCAATGTGAAAATCCCTCCAAATCTTGTTTTATTTCCTTCTTTCTCACTCTTTAAGGTTCTCTAGGGTTAAAAGCTACTGAAACTGACTTAAGGAGGGTCCTTAGGGTATTTATAGCGTCATATTCTCAACATTAATCGTAAGGATGATCACGATGAAAATTACATTTGCGTTCGAACGGACTTTGGTGTTTGAAAGTGATACATTAGAACATGACCTTCGTTCGAAAATGTGTTGCTCCCAGATTCTCGAGTTCTGTCAGACATCAAAGTACTATGGCTAAATGCATTCGAACGTGATTTGCGTTCAAATGTGAATCTAGTTTTCTGTCTCAACTTCCAATACATTTTGACCTACTTAGAAGGCAATTCACGAAATCTTTGTGTGATACACTTCTGTAGCCTTAGATGTCTAGTTTCTACTGTCCAAAAATTAGCTCCATTTGATTCCAGTGTAAAAAATTGTGATTAGAATTTCCAAGTAGTATACCTTGTCATTCTCTCCAAAATCTCCCAAAAACATGTAATCAAGACTCAAAACATTTACTATCCTTACTATAACATATATATAACTCATCATTTAGTCATTAAATAAGTACATATACACCAAATATTTGCTACACATTATTATAAATAGAGTTAAATTACGTATTTAGCCCTTAAACTATGACCCTTGTGTCAATTAAGCCCTTAAACTTTTTTTTGAGTCAATTAAGCCCTCAAACTATCTAATTGTTTCAATCAAGCTCTTCTGTTAGGGTTTCTAATGGAACTTTTTGGAGTGTGCTCATCATGTGAGATCTTCAGGGGCGTTTTAGGCAACCCTTTTAAAGACATTTCAGATGGTTGGCATTCATCTTTGAATCTCAAAGACCATCTCTCAGACCAACTATCAAACCATCTCTCAGCAACAACTCATCAATGGAGTGGTTAATATGCGCTACAGATGATGTCCTGCATCCGAATAAGATTTACCGTATGTCTTTATTTAATTTAGGTTTTTCTTTTTTTGTGGTTTTGGGGTTTTAATCTTTGGGTGTATTGTTGTGATTAGTTATGGAAGATTCTATGTTCAATTGATTTGCTTTCTTATTCACATTGCATTAGTTTTTTGGTTACGAGATGTTAGAAGAGATTAGTTTATTAGTTTAGGGTTGTGTGATGTTATGTATGGTTGCATTTGTTTATTGGTTTTTGGTTTTTGGTTTTTGTATTCATTAGTTTATTGGTTTTTCATTGTGTTATTTTGTGCAGGTGTAAGTTCTACATATTTTACCATAGAAATGCATCATGGTGGTCGATTTGAGTGCATTCCAAACAGGCAGTACACTGGTGGATCTGCAAATTTCGTTGATTGGGTAGACACCGACAAAATATCAATTCCTGAATTGCATGAGATGGCTAAAGAATTGGGATGTACTGCTGAGAGTGCATGCTGGTATAAGGTTCCTACAATGGATGTCATAAGTGGGATAATGATACTGGATAAGGACAGGGATATACTTTCAATGGTGGAATGGATACCAAGGTATAGAGTTATTGAGATATACTTGGAGCATAATCCAAAAACGCATGAACTCTAATTCAGCAACTGATAATAAAACTGGCTATGACACTGATTATGGCATTTCTGATGATGATTTATTGTTTGAAGCCAATGTTGACAACATAGCTAAAGAAGGTAATGGATAACTTTTGGGTTGTGTGTTATGTGTAGAACTCTTTGATGTTATTTTTGTGGCAAAGTAAAGTTTTGGTGAATGGCAAATTAAAATTTTGGTTCTAGATTTTTTGGATATAAGCATCACAGTATTTCAGAATGTTTGGATATAAGCATCACATGATCACACAATCACATGATATAAGCATAAAATAGTCACAACTAAAGCATAATAACCTTAGTTTCATTCCGGTGGACT